CCAGCTCCAAGAATACAAAGTGCCCAAGGCCAGCCCAGTAAGCAAGTTGCTGGGGATAAGGGTTTTGGCTGATGGTAACCTTCTGAGTGTAGAAATAAATACACTGCAGTCACAGTTCTTGGGCACTCTCTTTTCTCCCACCAAGAGACGAAGCTCCACTTGACCTCATCTTTCTGCATCTTGACTCTTGTTTTCCTTTATCTTCCACCCCCATTCAGAGTTTCGAGAGCTGTGGTGGACATGGCAGGCCTTTATTTCAGTGTACTCTCTCTGCAAGGTACATTCTTGTGGGTACCATGCTTTCCTCATGTTTGTATTGTGAAATTAGAAATATTGTAGGTATTCTGCCTGCAAAGTATCCTTGGCATTTAGTGCATGCTTAATAAGCAATAGCTCTTGTCATAGCTTATTTTGTGCTCTTTAACACTGAAACTGTGTGATATTTACAGGCTATGCTATTATTTAATTCTCACTAAATTATTTCCTATAATATGGTTGTATTAGTGTGCTGTCTTGTTGGAACAAATTGTCATATGCTGGTAGCTTAAACAACAGAAATTGATTTCCTCACAGGAATGTGGAAAATCTAGATTTTGTTTTTGAAACATGGTCTTGTCTCACTAGGCAGATCAGGCTAGCCTTGGACTCACTGTGTAGCCCAGACTGGCCTCAAACTCACAGTAATCATCCTGCCTCAGCCTCCTAAGTGCTGGGATGACAGGTGTGTGCCACCAGGCCCAGCCTGGATACATTTTTGTCATTCAAAATGAAGAATTATCTGGGCCAGTATGTTAATAGTGGTAAAGTTAAGAAACACTACAGTAGAATAATATAATAATAATAATATAATATAATATAATATAATATATCCAATGAATCAGGCAGTGTCCAGAAATGGATCACTCCCTCTTACACATTTCTTAGCCAGTGTTTAAGACTAAATGGGTAGGGAAATATATGAACTTATTTTGAAAATCTACAATCATGTCCTGACTATTGCTAAGCATGATGCATATTTCCTTCCCATGCCAACCTGATTGGTATGTCCTGTGGGCATACCATAGTCTAGAAAAACCACAGACTATGATATTCAAATTTAATTCTGCTTATTTTGTATAATAATTTTGAATATATGTAGAGTTTGATTTTAAAAAATCAAGGTTATACTTACTGCAATGGAGCACTCAGGTATTATGTATCTGGAGGAAGAACAATAACCTTATACCAAGCTGTGTTGTTGATACATTGTGTCAACTTGGCTGAATCAGCTCCGTGAGGGGGCCTAGCCCTGCAGGTGGGCAGGGCCCAGGAATTGAGAAACGCTTCTAGGCCCCTGCCCCACTTCCTGCTGCCCTGACCCGCTTCCATGGGGAAGTCCCAGTCTTCCGGAGAGCTTGATCTTGGCAGCCACGCCACTTTGGAAGAGCTACTATCTCCATGGAGCGCTGGTCTTGGCAGTCAGTGTAGAAGGAAGAGAGAGGCTTGATGGACGCCACAGCTGCTGCTCCTCCTCTGCTCTTCATTGTTTTCTGCCACATTAACTGCTGTCAAGGTATAGCAATCCTAAATAAAAAGACTTGCCTCTGAGGGAACAACATCCAAAACAAGGCCCTCAGCTTTATCTATTGTTTCAATTGCCTCAGGAGCCAGGGGGATTGATATCAGGCCCTTAAGCTTTCAAGAGTAGAACTCCTGATCTGTTATCTAAGGATACATTGTGGTAGACTGCTCTGCCTTCATTCTCTGGAATGAAACAAGGAGGTAATAGGCTTAATGATCTGTCACTTTAAGGAGTCTTCAATTCCTCCCCATCTCCCTCCTACTTTCCTTTTGTGCTTAACCTGCCAGGTATCAGTTCACCCAAAGGTCTTCCTATGTAGTCTTTTTTTTTTTTTTTTAGTTATTTCTCAGCAGGACCGAGTACATGCATAGACTTTATCAGAACTGACCTGAATTTTACTTATTGCTATCCATGTGATGCAGAATGTAGTTTTTCAAAATCTATGAGCATAGCTAATAATGTGAGTATAGCAACATTTGTCCCTTATAGTCTCAGGAAAAATTATACTGCTGGTGATCCTATTTGCTTTGTGCGCTGAGTTTTTAGTGCTGAGGATTGAACCCACGGCTTGAGAACTGTGCTACATCTATAGCCCTTTTTTATGTTTTTTGAGATGGAGTCTCACTACATTGCTAAATGTAGCTGAGGTTAAACTAATGACCCTACTGCCTGAATCTCCCGGACTGCTGAGATGATAGGTGGTGTCACCATTCTCAGCTTGATAGTGCATTTTAAAAATGATTTCTTGAGTATTAAATATGCTCACAAATTCACATATAATTTCTAATTTCTTATGACAATATGAAAAATTGTTAGTAGAGAAAATAAATGAACTGGCTTAGAAAATGTTAAGAGTTTCCGTTGTCATCAAGGGATATCTGAATGGCAAGTTTAGTCCCTTTTTTGGCATGATTAGAAAGTCACTAAGCCATGACAGTTACTGGTAGATATGCAGTGAAATGCAAACAGTTCACGAATCCAGGGCACTTCGCCAAAAAGCCGTCTGTATTTACAGGCCTCTTTCAAATTGTTTCTTCTTTGTATGACATTATTAACATAATTATGGGTCCTTTCAATAATTTCTTAAAAAATTGAAGAAATTAAACATTATTGATATCATCTTCCCACACACTACAGCCTGAACAACCAAACATTTTGGTCAATTTTTCACTGAGTATGTATACAGTAAAGGCTGCTCTTCTGTGATTTGTTGCCCTCTTAAAATGTTCCCTTAATAATAGGTTATGCCTTATAACAGGCAATTTGCTTTTCCACCATTTCACTTGTCATGCCAGTTCCCCTAACATTAAGTAGCAGAAACTAGAAAAGGGCTCACTGTGGTTACAAAGATCAATAAAATGCTTATCCTTTTTGTCTTTTTCACATTTTATTTACATTCACTTTACATTACACTTGTCTGTTTTTAACCTTTCCTTACAAACTCACACGGAAAAATAGAGAAACAAATGTACATATTCTTCTATTTCCTTGAATATTGTTCAACTTTATGGCAGATTAAACTAGCAAATAGGAAAAGAACACTCAAGAAATAATATCAAAACAATTTTTCTCTAGGTCTAGTTGCAAATAGCTGCGCTTTTGAAGAACTGGGGAAACATCAACCACAATACAGATTTCAATATATTTTTCTCAAAACAAAACTATACGGATGAATGTGTTACAAATAACAATTTCAATGTCAGTCTAGCAAAAGATGAACACTTTTGTACTACTTTTTCTGACACAATCACAACATGAACATCTAATTATAAAATTTAACTAGCATTACATGAGAAGTATGACAATAAAGTTTCTTTGTTGTGTTGTATCCTCTACAACATATATTTCCTGAGGTCACATCAGCATATTATTAGACTTTATACCTGATGAAATTGTTTTAGGAATATAATTTTTCTACGTTTTACAAAGCAGTCTCTTAATTGTGTATAAGTTGTGCCGCCTATTGGCTGAATAGTAATTTTTTATTGTTAAGGGTTACAGGGTTGTGTTTTAATTTCTGAATTTTATGGTTCAGTATAAATATCACAAATATAAGACCAGCATGGTATTTTTAAATACATAAGTATCTGTCATACATAAAACTATACTTTCTGTATACACAGATAATCTAATGGCCTACATTAACTCTAAAATCTCCAAAATAGGTAATGTTTTACAAACTAAGGATGCAAGAAAAATTAGTCCAGTTAGCTTGCTGAAAACAACACTTCTTTTTTATGTATTTAGTACAGGGTCTACAGGGTCTCACTACACAGATCATAGCGATCCTCCTTTTCTCAGCCTCCCCAATGCTCGGATTATAGGTGCGTGCCACCACACCCAGTCTCAGTCACCATCTTGTCATGCTGCAGGGATGCGGATGGCATGGCACACTGCGGATGAAACCCTGGCCCCTGCACTCTGCCTAAGCAGGTGCTTTAGTCCACTGAGCTCTCTGGTAAGCCCTTGAAAATAAAACTTTTGAACTCTTATCTGGAGCTTATTTTTAGAAATTCACGTGCATGTATTCTTTAATACAGCATACTTCATTTTACATCTTTATGGTAAAACTTTATGTGCCGTTTGCTGACTTTTACTACTTGGAAAACATTTTCTTGGTTCAATATAGTTTCTAGATATTTCACTCAATGCAGTTTAATATTAGTGTTTATAAATTACTATATACTCTGAAATGTATCTGCTCCTCTGGAAAGGACAAACTTCACTAATATATCAGGATTTAGCTTTCACAATACACAGTTGAAATCACCTTGTTCCACTCAGTCCCATAGTCCCAGAGAAAATCCCTTGGGAATTACAGGGAACTGATTTTTTTTTACAAAGTTTCGTTAACAAGTGCACATTTTGGACTCATATCTGTTTTCATGAGTATACATAACAAAGTTTGCTTCCTTCTAATAATACATAAGGTTGATTTATTTTACTAAATCTTGACAAAAATATCCCAAATACCTAACTTTATTTTTTTACAATTTAGTTTTTGTTACCCATACCCCACAGGAAGTGTTAACATTATGTATTTCAACCACGTACTCATGAAAAAGGTAACAGAAGGAAAGTATATTACGGCTAGACTCCTCATGCCATTAATGTCATAGACTTCCAAATGAACTTTTACAACTTTTAATATATACCTCTGGATTAAGCCTATATTATTTATCAGCACATTTCATCCTCCCAAACCATCCATTAAACTAAGAAGTCGCAAGAAATAATCATTCAGACACTGGTCAGTTCTGTGAGTGTATATTATGAAAAGTTTCATCTTCACAGAATTAAACCCTCTTAGCTCATATTTAGTACTCATTGTATATATTTTGAAGTCCATATAACAAACATTTTAGATTCAGTTCTTTTGCCTTACTGCCTTTCACAAGATTTGAGATGAACCAAAAGTAGAGGGTCTGCCACAGTGATATTATGAGCTTTGATTTGGTCTTTTTGTGGGTGGTGGTTTATCTTCTCTGTGTTCCTCATTATTGTCATCATCTGGATAATCCACTAAGGTAGTCACACTGCTACTGCATGGACTACTTAGTCCATCACCAGCACCACCAGAAAAAGCTGAAGCAACTCTAACGACACTAGAAGATGTTATTTTGGGAGGGCCTACATTGTTTTCATTTTCTTCTGTGCTTTTACTTTCCATAAGGTTTTCATCACCATCTGGATCATTTCCCACTGGTAGCATAGCTTCTTCTCTTGTATCTATGTTAAAACATATTTCCTTCTTCACCGTCATGTGTTTGGTATCTCTATATGCTGTCGAATGTAAAGTCTGCTTTACTTGACTTTGTTGGTCTTTCTGTTGTTCATATTTACTCTTCAAATTTTTGAATGTCTGTACATACTCAATCGATTCAAAAGCCTTATAAAATTTTTTGACTACATGTACAGTAAGAGACTTGATATTTTCCACATTTATATATTCAAATAGCTCAATAATAGCTGAATTTAAAATGTTGTAGCGAGTTCCATTAGCCAGAAAAGCATTTACAATTGGCTCAAAAAGATTTCCCCGTATGATGTAATGATTATATTGTGGATCTTTAAGTCCAATCATCTTTCTCATTAAACGAACAACACTCAAGGTCAGGAAGGTATGCTTTGATTTCATCAGAATCAAGGCTCTTCTTAGCAAGTCTTTATTCAAGATATAATTTTTCATGTAGTATGTGTGATTTTCTACACAAAATGTGCACAGTTCTAAAATTAAAGCAAGCAATTGTGCTGTTTGATAATTATTGGGGCAATTTCTGTTTTGGTCAGGTCCAAATCCATCATCTTCTTTGTCTTTTTCAGTGGTGGATAAAAGTGGTGCTGTCAAGTTATGCATGCAATGGTTATAGAAGAAATTTAGAAATTTACTTCTTTCATATTCATAAGATGATATCAGCATTGTCTCTGGGTCAAGCAGAGAGCAAAGAGGTGCCATTAGATTCATGGCACCTGAAAGTTCAGGATCAGTATCACAGATCATTTGTTCAATTACTACATTAATTAGAAGTTCATCATCTTTACACTCCTGATCTTCATCCATTGCAAACTGTCGGATTATGGATGGATTGTACTCCACCAGACAAGCAAATATAGCTGTAGCAGCTTGCTTTACTTGGAAATCGTCTACACTCATAACATTTTTAAGAACAGGAAGAATTCCCAATCTTACAAATTTTTTGAGCAATGTGTCTTTGCTTTGAGGATATAAAGCCTGGGAAAATTCACAGAATTCCTTGAAAAAAATTAACAGTTCAAGCCGTTTATCATCAGCCATAGTCTTATCCTTTAACTGTGTAAATACTTCAGAGAAAAATGTGTCATCTTCCTGTAGCATGCTGACTATATCAGTCTTGTTGAGGAAAATAAAGTTAGTAAGAGAGGGGAGAAAATTTTCTTCCCTTGGGGTTCGTGTAGACAAAAGCATATCACGAATGTACTTTACTCTGTATGTCTGATGTATCTTTTTCTTAACTTCAGAATTTGTTATTGGCACAATTTCTTTGAATTTTGCGCTTTGGGTAATGAATTCCCTATGCTTTTCTGGCTGAGCCAAAGCAGGGTCATACTCAAGGCATCCTATCACATCCATAATACACTCATCAGAAAACATAATCTCAAACAGAGAAGTTTTATCAAGGAGTAAGACTCCTTTAACAATATTGTACAAATGATGTAATGCTTCTGTATCATGCATATTCTCACAAATTTGGAATAGCTCAAGTAATTTTTTAAGATAACCCCCATTTTCCAAGATTCGAATCAGCCTTTCCTTACGGTTAGGTGAAACAAAAAACGAGTTAAAGAAATCTGCAAGATCAGCAACGGTACTAAGTTCACAGTCAGGCGACTCAATATTACTGTCTTCTAATATTTCATCAAATTGTCCTGTTTCATCTAAACCGTATTGTGTGATTTCTTCTGTTGGATCTTTACCTTGAACTTGGCATATTTCTTCCCAGATCTCCTGACAGCTTTCTGAGTGCTGGAAACTCAGCGCTTTATTCACATTCTCAGCATCAGTCCAAACAATTAACGTGCCCCGCTTTTTCTGATAGAGTGTGTCCAGATTTATCTTGGACTCCAAAATCACCGAGTCATCTGACTCTGACTGAACAAGCAGACACATGCCCTCCAGTCGCTCAATGTAAATGGTTGAAACTTGCCCCTTGCCTGCACAGTCCCATCCTCCGTCTCCGTTCATCACAAAGAGTTTCACAGGGTGCTGCCCGCCCGCCATGATGATGGCGTGGCCTCTGCAGTTTGTGTCTTCTAAAGAACCTCGCTTCACCTTAGTTACCATTACATTGGTAGCAACCAATGAAGGGGTAATAGATTGAAAAACTCATTGCAAAATACCACAATTACCAGGGATAAGGGGTGGCAGAGGCTGAGAGAAGCCCAGTGTCTCTAAGTTTCCTCCGCAGATGATGCTACTATTCACTTCTTTGCATGTCAGTATCTGTGATTGTCTTTCTTCAGTTTTGCCCCCCCCCATCTTGAAAAGTGAGTCCGCCCGCTAAGAATGTCTCAATTCTCGTGAGAATCTCAGGACGCTCACAAGATTTTTTTTCCCCATGAACGTGCTTACGTGCTCACGTGCTCACGTGCTTACGTATTATGTGCTTACATTGGAAAGTACTCTACTTGTTAAAGGGACCTGTCACTAAATTTAAAAATGAAAGTTTAGAAATGAAGGACAAGAGCTAGGGAGAAGGCCCTCAGAAAAGGGCCCAGTAGATAGCTTAGCGGTCTAAGCACCTGCCTGGAAAACACAAGGACCCGGGTTTGAGGACGTGGACTTGACCCCCGGCACCGCATGCTGTGATGGCCCTAGAACCCCACACGCGCCATGCCAGTCGCCGAAACCAGCGCTAGGGAGGCTGAGGTAGGACGGTCATTGCTAGTTCAACACCCGCATGGGCTACAAAGTGAGCTTAAGGCCAGCATGAACTATACTGAATAGGAAGACCTTGTTTCAAATATCTTTTTACGATAAAGGGCAAAATAAATAGCGAGCGGACGAAAGAGATAAAAAACAAACGAGATGCGTTACATATACTTAGTGCAAGTTAGGCAAGCACGGGAACTGCAATTTGATCCCTGACATTATATGCAGCCCCGGCCTGCACTGAGCCAGCCACCAAGACCACTCAGTGATCCTGCTGTTTTCAGCCTCCCAAGTGCTGGGATTACAGGTGTGCCACAGCAATCCAACTTAGTTGACAGCTCAGCACTCCCCGGGGGTGGGGGCCAACGTGGCATGCAGGGACTGGGGATCAAACCCCGTCCCTGAATCTGCCTAAGCAGGCGCTTTACACCATTAATCTATCTGGCTAGCCCTTTGAGGAACATTTTCCTGCAATGGAGTATGTCAACTTTGTTTCTTTCTTCAGTTCGTCTGAAAGCTTTATGTTTTAGCACAAAGAGTGACAAAATTTCCTCAAATATTTTCTTATACATTGACACGTTCTTCATTTTTAGGGAATTACTGGGCCAAAGGAAAATTGAATTGAAGTTTGCCAAAAGTCAATTTTTATATAGAATCTTGCTGTGCAACTGTTTTTAGCCTCCCCAGCACTGGTATTACAGATATGCACCACTATGGCCCAGGCTCAGTGGTTGATTCAGCATACTCAGGTTGTGGGGGCTGGCGCAGCATGTGGTGCCCGGGATCAAACCCCAACCCCTGTGCTTACCTAAACAGGCGCTTAAGACCACTGAGCTATCTCTCTAATCCTCCAAAAGTGAATCTTGATTATTATATATCAGTTCTTTTATTTCTCCTCAACAATGAAGATAGCAATAACTTGACAGTTACTGATGGTGCACTGAGTGCTTGTTATTGTGAAGAAAGCTAATATAATTGATTAAGTAAAATACTTCAGTGTTTAGTATGTTGAAGACTGTGTGACAAGTTCATATATATCATTATTTAATCTTCATAACAAGATAGCAATATAGAAGGATTCATAAACCTTTTAGGATCAGGAAATAAACTTAAAGAAATGAAACAAATTGGCAGGGGTCACATAGGCAATAAACGGAATTCTGAGTTGGACACTTGCCTTTCTAGTTCCAACGTTGGTTTTCTTATCCATTAAACTGCTATCCTTTTTTACTTCGTCTTCACTATGCTTTATTTCACATTCCTTCCATCTATATAATTTGTAATCAACATAAAATAATCAAGACAAGATGAAAGTCACACACTTCCTCCTTTAGATCCACATCTGTGTATTCCAACTGAAAAATAGAAGCTTGGATATAGCAATTCTGTTAAATATAATTTTAATAGTAATCAAGTTGATTTTTGATGTAGCAGCAACTTTTGCAGCTTTCTTTTTGAGAAATATTGCCTCCTCCAATAAAACATTAACTCTGTTATCAGAGGAAAACTGAGAACTGGACTACAGCAAGCAAACTGACGTTTCAGTCCTATCTGTAACAATCATTTCATTTTATATAGCATTGGAGATTGTGACAGTTCTCAAATAGAGCATAGTAAAATTTGTACATACATCTCTTACAATGTTGCCTCCAGAAGGCTTTAGTATGTAATATTTTCTGGGATAGTGCAGGTATGATACTTGAGAAGTTGAATGCGGTATGATGATTATTCCATAAGAAAATTTAAATCAGTACCAAAAATACAACAGTTTTAGAACATCTACAAGATATCAATAATAGTTAGACATAAGATGAATGTGCCAGCTTAAAAACATACCTATTTCAAGAGGAAAGAATGTGCAAACATTCAATAATCAAATGTATGCTAATGGTTCAACTTTTGTCTCTGCTTTGTTTACATTAAAGTCTTCCTCAGAATGAGTTATGATACTGTACATTTACTAAATATGCCCTCAGGTTTCATTTTTTGAGATGCATTTATTGCAAATTTATGTTTTCACAATTTTATCACTAAAAGTTTCCTTGAAGCCAATTAAGATGCTTCTATCTTTATTAGGTTAACAAGAGCCTCTTTATAATCTTTTTTTTTTTTTCCGGAACCAGGGATTGAACTGAGGCCCTTGCTCTTGCCAGAGAAGCACTTATTCTACTGAGTCATCTCCACAGCTCCGCCTCTTTATAATCTAAAACAGACTCAATTGTATACTTTTTGCTGCTATTTCTGTAGCAGTTTCTTTCAGATTCTGCCTTACTGGTTTACGGAAGTAGAACAATGTCCTTTTGTTTGCTCCATTAGTTATACCTACCTTAGATTATTCTGCTGTTTTTGTTATTTTCCAGGAGGGGAACTAACATGAATAAGAAAATGTCATATTCTAGGAGCTTCAGAAATTCTTTTTATATGCATTACTTGCTTCGCCAGTTTATCTTAGTTCCAATAATGGCCCGAGGAAGATACTACTAGTACCATATTAGAAGAAAAAGTCTTGAAGCCAAAAACAAAAAATCATTTGGTTCAAACTCTTGTAGTCAGTGATGATGTCAAGATTGGAAAGGAAGCTTTTGTGGTTCCAACGTTTTTCTTTGCTTTTCCCAATATGCAAACGTCTCCCAGACAAAGTCAATGTTTTTTTTAAACCTTATTTATAATACATCTGCCAGGCTGTTTGCCTGCACCTGTAATCCCCACCCTCTGAGGGGCTGCGCCAGAGGGATCAAAAGTTTGAATCCAACTTATGCAAGTGAGTGAGAAACTGTCTCAAATTTTTAAAAAATGTAAAAAGGGCTGGAAACACAAACTAAGGAGAAGGCCCTGAGTTCGGTCCCCAGTATTGAAGAAATAAAAAATGGAAAATTTTAGCTAGGGTCTATCCAACCCAACATAATCTATCTCTGTCTGTACTCTGGCCTTCAGAGTCACTCTGTCCTTTATTCTCTCCTACGGGCACTGGCCACCTAGCTGTGTCTGAAGGTTACATCCAAGTGTACTCCTCTTAGGACCTTTGTATGTCTCCATATTTTGACAAAAACCACTCTATTTTTAAATATCTGGCTGACTTGCGCCCTCACATCATTCAAAGATTTCTCCAAATGTCCTTTTCTTTCTGGTTAGAAATTTTCTAGCTACCCCTTTCAAGTTCAAGTCCCTCCCATCTTACTACATCCGTCCCTTTTCTTTCATGTGTGTTTTCTCTACATCCTTTAGCCACATCTGAACATTTTGTACCTTAGTTATTCCAGTTTCTGTAGTCAGAGTGTCAGCTGTATAAGGGCTGGGATTTTGGTTTGCTCACTAACTTGCTCTCAGCACCTGCCCTGGGAATGGCACATAGCAGTTTCTCAACAAGTATTTATGGTAGAAATACATAAGTGAATAAACATTTTTCTTATATGATTTCCAATAATCCATTTATTTATTCCTTAGAAAGTTACTAAGTACCCCTTTTGTATAGGCCCTATGCCAGGCACTGGGAACAAAATAGCATATTTGAACTTACGTCAAGCCCTCTTATGGAATAGATAGTTTTATCAGGTGCCATTTCTAATTTATAAAATACATTTGCATTTCCCATCTGCTACCCTAATCCTATTGCTTTGAGTAGTTTACTGCTTGTTCATAGTGACCAATAAAACAGTATTTTCCTGTTTGGTTACTTGAAAAGCCAATGCTTTGAATAAGTTGCATGCTCTATCAAATATTTCTTCTCTTACTCTAAATGTAATCTCTGGTAGAAGTTACAATTTTACATTCACTATCAAGTATTGAAAGAGCTCTCAATTTTGGTATAGAGATATTCAGTAATCCATTTGACTCTCTATTTATCTCATGATCTTTCTTTCTTTCTTTCTTTCTTTCTTTCTTTCTTTCTTTCTTTCTTTCTTTCTTTCTTTCCCTCTCTCTTTCTTTCTCTCTCTCTTTCTTTTTTTGTACCGTGGATTGAACCCAGGACCTTGAGTTTGCCAGACAGGTACTCATACCACTGAGCTATCTTCAAAGCCCTGCTTTTATTTTATTTTATTTTTTATCTCATGGCTTTCCTTATGGAAGTTTATCCAAAAAACTAGAGTTAAAGGTTAGAAGTTTAGGTTTCACACTGTGCAGCTGAATACAGCTAAGTTATATAGAAAAGTTCCTGGGTAGAGGAAAGGGTGAAGAATTTAATATATGGCTGCAATTTTTGGCAAACTTGTACAAGAAGTATAGCCTGAAACTTTCCTAGGAAAAGACATAAATGGTCACTCTAAACCTAGGAAATTAGGATATATAGGCACATAAGCCACCTTATTTTCAGTAAATTAGGAATTATTGCATGAAAGTATATATAAAAA